CAGAGTGAATCTACAACTCGGAACATTTTCAATAATACATTTCAGAAAAGTATAGCACGAGATCACTGTGGGTGTACTTGTGTATCTGTGTGGGTAAATCTCAAGATGTTTGGACGATACAACTCTCTGTATGCTAGCTTTTTTATTGTTATTTACCCCTCAGTGGGGTGATCAGGACAGTTTTGGAGATTAGGGTGAGACGATAGGGGATGAGTGGGAACGGGTGAAAAAAGAGGTGTATTTACAGTTTGATTTATCTCAATGTGTATTCAATTAGTACATAAAGCCAACTACTCTTCTGCCTTTCGAATGAACCATGTCTAGAATCAATAAATGAACTGAGCTTGCTGTTTTGTTTGCGTGTTTAGAAAAAACGAAATATTGCCACATGACAGGGAGGGTCTCAACAACTGCTGCTCTCCTCCACAGATGACCTTCTGCTCTAGAGGAAGACATTGCAAAAGCACTGGACACACACACACAAACGCAGAGAGAGACATGTCGCAAAACTAACTGATCCTGATCAGTTTCCTCTTCCTGTGCTCAGTAAAGATGGTAGGCCACTAGGCCAGATGGAAAGATAAATGGAAGACAAAATGAAACATAGAGAAAGAGCAGAAACAGCCCTGAGAGCATTTAAGAAAGGAACTAAATTAAAAATGTCAGAACTGCAGAAGCAAAAAACCAAAAGGACATACGGCTTCGTCCTGATAAATCAGCTAAACGGCGTAAGAAGGGGAGGAGGTTGGTTCTTATTGTAACTACATTCCCTTAATGACAGAATAACTGCATGTTATTTAAAAAGGTCAGGAACCAGACAGTAATGTACTGCCGACATAACAGATATGAGGTTAAAACAACTAATAAATCCTCTTCCTGATGGTCGCCTCAAACTTAGATGTTGGACGAGAATTTCTTGAAAATAATACAAAACAATAAGTGATAAAAGAAATGGCTACTTCTCATCTTGTTGAAAAGTAATGGCTGGTTTGAAAATAACAGAAAACTGTATCGTTATTTTTCCAAAAGGACGATAGGCTGCCTCCATTCTGCAGGAGTTCCCCTCTGAGCTTCACACATGAAAGGGGTCAGTTTCAGCAGCACAAGTCCCTTTGCCTGCTCATGTTTGGGTGTTTATTCTCACTTTCCCTGAAGTGTTGTCTCACTGTATCTACTTATGATAACCGCCCGCTTAATGTGTACAGAGACAATTATTACTAGAAGTGCTGAATCATGATCACTACTTCACCTTTTAGCTTTTTCTCTCAAGCCTGGTTTCTCCTCTCCTCTCTGACTCTTTACAAGAAGAAGGAGTCACGGCCACCTGCCTATCGGTTAACGCTGGGTGGCGTGGGCTGCGAGGATGGTGGTCGAGAGCGAGGGAGGGCTGTCAAATGCTACAGAAACTCATGACTGAAAAGAGGAAATGGTAGATACAGAACTTCCTCTATTGACACAGATCAAGTGGGGGCAAGACTCAACGGTAGTAGCAGCAGACTGGATTACGGACACTGTGTAGTCACCCCTGTGCCATTACTGCCTCAATGTGGGGAAACAACCGCCATATATGGTGAAAACGATATGGTCATGGTATATACAAACTTTAAACTAGAGCTGACTTCAAATGATTAACTAATGAGTAAATTACTGCAGGGAAATAATGAATTAATGTAAATGTTCCATCGACTATAATAAATGATACTTGAGTAGCGGGGGCCCACATTTGATTGAGGTTTGGCGAAAAAGGTGTTGCGACATAGACAAAAAGCCTGAGAAAAGAAGGTGAGACATCTTCAAATATTAGGGGTAAAGATAGAAACCCTTTTTCAACTCCTATCCTCCCTCCCACTCAGTTGGTTTGTGTGAAACTGAAAGACCCGTCTCTGAAAAGGGGGAATTTATATGGGCTCACATGCCCCAATTGAAGCAGTTCTTGGAACTGTTTGCATGCATGTTTATATATACTGTCTGTGTATGCATGTGTTGGAAGTGTGTGTGCATCTGTACGTGTATGTATGTGTATGTGTGTATGTGTGTATGTGTGTATGTATGCGTGTGTGTGTGTGTGTGTTTGTGTTCCTCGCCTGACAGACCACTCAATGTAACTTCCCCCTACCCATCAGTTCATGGACACATGGTTGACACCAGTTATGCTGAAGCAAAGCCGAGGTCACATGATATGTCGCACCAACTTGCCCACCACATTCACATGATCACAAACACACACACCAAACTCACCAAAAAATTAACACTCAGCTCAAATAAAAAAGTGTTGAGGACTGTATGTAACATATTATTACTGTTTTTACACCTAACAATGTCTTTCAGTGGGAGTGTACACCACACAGTATTTTTAAATATGGTTAAGCATAAGAGACAATAAACAGGAAGGAATCAAAGTTTGTTTTTTAGTTGTTTTACAATTCAAAATGAGTGTTTGTTTTGTTGGCTATGCACTTTAAACTACAATAAATGTAACTCTATCACAGTTAATATAGTATACACTTTAATATTAGACTTGAGAATGAGAATTTTCATTTCAAGGTTACAGTCCTCTCGGTAAATGTATGATAGTTTGAACAAATAATCTTAATTGGGAATTGCTTCATTTGTTGTCTTTCTCTCTAAAACCTTCAGGTACAATTTAAAATGTTGAGTTGCTATTTTCTTTATGTTTTCCAATAAAGTGCATTATTAGTTACAGTAATCCTAAATTAAGCTTTAGCTAGACCAAAAACTGCATTTTAATTGAAGGTTAATAAAGGACTTCAAATGACTTTAGCCTGAAGCTTAAGAAGCTGTAAATGTTGTTGGCTTCAGAGAAATGTGTCATGGTTTAGTGTAGTATTACTCAATAACATCAATACGGCTTTAGAGTTTCTCCAAAGCAGTATTGTCTTGTGATTATATCACATATCAAAAACCTATAAATAACATCAGCCCGTTTTTAACACTAGAGTGTATTTTTGGCATCATTCCCAAACCTTCTTTAAAAGCTCATTCTAGTTATAAAGCGCCTGCAGACGACAAACAGAGGAGTTAACTTCCAGGTTGCCTATAAAATATTCAACTGCTTGACCACTTTATTCAGCTCACATTTATTCCAAGGTCAATGAGGTTTTCAAAAAGCCCATTAAATCCTGTAAAAATACTATGTTTAATGAGGTGAGGCCCCACAACAATGTGTGTAAAATGCAACTCGATAAAGCAAATACAAATCAATCCGTTCTGTATCATTTGTATCAGAAAGACTTTTTCAAGAACATCGCTTTTATTTGTGTTTCTCAGCCCAAGTTGGTTTGGAATATTATTCTTAGATTGATACATATTTTTGACTATGTAGATTTATTGCGGTTAGAAATGTTCTTACACTATAAAACAAGTTAATTGGGTTCATTTATTTGTAACAGTTATTGAAGCATTCTTCACAGAATCACACATTTGATTTGAGAAAGAGAGAGAGAGTGTAAAAGTAGTCACATCAAGAGCATTGCCACCTTTGATTGTGGTTATTTAAAAACAGGTATTAACACGTTTGCCTCTTGTTGTGTTTGGATGACACTTTGTACTAACTATTTAGTGTGAGGAATATCGAACCAGATCATCTTAACAAAATGGTTGAGGGCATGACAAGTTTAAGTTTTTTTTTTAAAAGAGAGGGACTGATGTTTGTATTTTTGGTATAACAAACACAGATATATATGTATTGAGTGGTTCCTACCTCCGGTCCATAAACCCAGGAGAAGATGGGTGCCTGCTGTCTTCGGCCTCTTGCTCTTCCCCCTTCCCTTTGGTCCTTTGCTTGGAGGTCAGCAGAGGTCATACACCTGAAAGAAAAGCCAGACAAGTTTTAAAAAAAAAAGAACATTCAGTCCAAAGAGGGGCTCTGATCAAAGCATCTACTTCAAGTATATGAATAAAGAGGCAATAAACTGATCGAGAGAAAAAACACTAAACGCTGACATATTGAGGTACTTTTCTCTTGTAAATTAGTTTCAGGTTTAGCTGCAGTGCATGTGAATGATCTCACACAAACACACACACATAAGCATTATATGTAATGTGGGGTGGAGCAGGGGGGGTTCTGGGAAAATAACAGAAATAAAAAGAATGATAGAAACTGACCGCTTCCTACTTTGACTTCGTTGGAAAACAAGTTCTCCAATGGTCAGTGAGGTAAGTGAAGTAAGCCCCCCCCCCCCACACACACACACACACACACACACGCATACAAACACATCTTTGAGATTCAGGCAATGATGTGGAGAATGAGTCTGAAGGGCAGATTCAGTCTAAACACACGATGGTGATGTGTAGGGAGGAAACAGGAGATATCAGCTACAAGAAGCAAGCCTGTAGAAAGCAGAGCAGGACAGAGGTCGTGTGAGGACAGCAGAAACCAGGATGAAGCACAGATGTCTTATTATGTTGCAGACAAAGTAAGGGCAAACAGAGCTGGCATTAAGAATTCATTTCAAAACCCTGATGGCTCTTCCATATGTGGGGAGAGCATTAGATGTCCACTCACATGATGGCATGGGATAACAGGGAGAGACAAAGAAAACAAAAAGGACCTCTCTTCTCATAAACTCCTGTTCGTTCACACGCTCAGGCCTTGTCAGCCCCTCAGAGGACCAGAGGTGAGGGGGGAAACAAAAAAAATGCTGCAACAACACCTGAGCATAGAGGGCAGAAGGCATTAACTACCTGCACGGACGGCTAAAGATTTAACCAAACAGGCTGTGCCCAAGACAGAGAAACCAAACCCAAGCCAGTTGAGCTCGTTAGGCCGGTCTGTCAGAGGGGCGAGTCAGCAACACAACTACCTCTGTAATCACACACACACACACACACACACACACACACAAACCAACCCACTTGCATGCCAGCCCTCCCCACCCATGAGGTAGACAGGAGCCTTAACCTAACATTACAGCCTGAGCACATCCTATTGTAAGACAGCAGAGTGACAGGATTAAAATAAAAACACTGGGCGTGCCATGATGATGATGATGATTAACAGACCACTGAAGGGAGATCCTTTAGGTGCAAGGGCTAAAAACCAACAGATCTCCTGCGTGCCCATGGGCAGTGGAGAGGCAGGTGATGTGCGTGCAGAGCAGGTTAGGTTTTGGATGTCAGCCGGGACTCGGCTATAATTAGCAGCAGAGTCTCCAGAAATGTACCCGCCGACCCTGCTCTGCTCTGCCTCTCACCTGGCCGACACACACAGCCTATTAAACAGCAGCTGCAGCACCTGCTCCTAAACCACAACAAGCACACAGCCTCCGTTTCATATGTGCAAAACCAAGTGCTCAAACTGTCTTATAAAAAGGGGAATACATTAATGTCGACGGGAGTTACCGAATACCCGTGACGTGGATAGTCCTCCCGTGACCCCGATGAGAACCGGGAAGGAGGGAGGCTATGGGGTTGCCGGTGCTGTCATGGCAAACAGTCACTTGCATGAGGCTACATTTATCTTAAAATTAGTGTTATACATATTTAAAATCGACAGCAGTCAGGTGAAGCAGTTTACCTGAGTGCCGGTGTGTCACCTGTTCAGACTCGTCGCCTCCCACCTGACCGGCCTCCACACTTCCTGGATTATTCCGTCCCACCCTGCCGACTTCTTCTACTTATTCTTCTTCTTTTTTATCCTCCCGGCTCTTTTCTTTTCTACCGGGGGAACCGCTCTTGTCGTCCTCAGCTCGACACCTGGGAGGTTTTTAATATTTCGTGGGTCAGCGTTTGTCGTGTTGCGGGTCTTCCCTGCAGACCTCCGGCTCTCCGCGGTGCTTCCCCCCCTGTGTGTGTGCTGCCTCCGCTGGTCCACTCCAACTCCAGGCTCCTTCTTTCTGAGAACCAGGAAGCGGCTTGCCCTACTTACACCCAGTCGCGGATTGGCTCTGGCAGGGCTGGAGAAGAGACCGCCGGGGTGGGCAGGGCACAGGGGAGGGAGGGAGAGGGAGAGGGAGGGGGAGGGAGGGAGAGCACGGAGGGGCTCCGGCTCTGACGCGATAGGCCAGGAGCGGTGTCTGTCGCGGAGCCGGTGGCGGAGGAGGAGAGAGGTGGGCCGGTTTGGAGACCCCGCTCCTCCTCCTATCTCAGCTTCGGGCATCATCACCGCCATAGGTGGGTAGATAAAGGCGTGCAGGGACAACGCATTCAAGTATATCTGCTAATAGCTAAGCCTGCATGTCAAATGCCAACGCTTTTTCAAGCATTTTAGACTAAGTGCCCCCTTTCCTCCTATTCATGACTCGGCAATCAGGAGACACCCTGGAGGAGGTGACCACGAATGGAGAGATGGTAGTGCATTAATAACTCAAAATGGGAGCCCGATCTGAGGCTGAAATATGATTTAAGTCAAACGGAACTTATTATGATAAATGAAACTATTATAAAGGATGTGTCACATCCAGTTTGAGGAGCAGCAAAGGTCGAGGGACTTTTTAAATGGCTTGTAGTGAATCAGAACAACAACAAAAAAAAGTCTATATAGCCTACTGTAGCCTATGTTTGCTCATGCTGAAAATAAAAACTCAGCATGATTTTATAATACATTTTCTTCCAGAGAGACTCAAGCACAGACACTTAACCCTCACTTCACTGCAAACAAGTAAACTTTGAACACTTACTCTTTGAAGTGGTTATGGGTATGGGAATCACCGCGCTTTTTCAAAGTTTGAATCTCATCCTCGTCTACTGTAGCTCCTCCATGAGTGAGTGAGTGTGTGTGTTGGTGGGTTTTGAAGTGAGGGTGCAGGAAGTCTATATATAATTTTGCGGTGAGCTCAGCCCCCCTATTACCACCCCCTTAACCTTAAATCTGTGCTTGTTCTGTGGTTTTGCTACCAGACAGAGACGTAAAACTATATGTGCACCACATGTTCCATACATGCTACTGATTTCCATGTTGGCTTTATATAAAGCAGTGGTTCCCAAACCTGGAGTTGAGACATAAGGGGTCACGAGATGATTAACATAAAAAATGAAATGAAATTCTGGTTACTTTCATCTCTCCAGGCCTCTAAAAACTATTATATTGAAGAAATCAAAAACTCTTTTAACTGGTAACAAAACAATTCCAACCCATTACAGGGGTCATGCTGATAGACACTGCTTTGAAAGTTGGGTAAAGCATAACAACTTTTTATTTGGCATCCTATTTCCATCATACAATCAATTTATATAGGCTTACATTTTCATTTCTCTAAAAACAACTAAATGGGACTTTCATTTTCAAAGATTTCACTTCATGGATTAACTTTAATTGTAATGCATCTAACATTATCATCTAGGTGCATTGTACATTTATTTGTATTTATTTAATTGACTCTTGAAACTGATCAAAATGGGTTTTGATTGTGTTATCCCTTTTCTTCCTAAACAATTTTAATGTATATCCTGCATAATGTTCTAACTTTTTTGTAAAATACAGTCTTTTTTATATTTATATGTGTAAATACTGATTTACACTAACTTGCAGAAAGACCCTTTATTCTGTCCCTGCAAGGAATTTAGAAACATGTAAATCCTGTGATTCAACTTCCAGGATATGTACACACAGACAGCTGCTATGCAAAACTGTAGTATAATTAAGGGAATAAAATACCCATAACTGTGAGTTTCTAGGCCCAGAAACTCTCTGCAGGTTAAGTTTGTCTCCTCCACGGCCAAGAGTAAAGACTTCCCTCTGTGTCTATTTCAGATCCAGAGTGACGGGCAGCAATTACAGTCCTGTTTATCCCCCCACCTCTATTCACGGCTGGTAATCCAGGCTGGTCTGCCATAATTTACCCTCTCACCGTGCTCCATATTGTACTCTCTTCCTAACAATACATGTCCTCATCATACAAATGTCTCTCTCCTGTTCGCTCATGTTACTGTAAATAAATTTAATAAATATAAAGTGCAAGATGCTGCTGCTTCCTGCTGAGTTGATCTGATTATCAATGTGCCATCGCCATCTAGTGGTTGCGTTGCATTCAGCAGCCCTACATCCCTAACCAGTGTCTGCTCAAGTGAAGCCTCCAGTACAAAAGTATACACATTTTACACTGTGGGAATACCGATTTATTTTTTAGAAATACAGCTTACTCCTCTCCTGCCCTCTAATTAAAAAATGTCAGCAATTTCTTTACCAGCATAGAAAAAACCCTCAAATATTTACAGCTAGAGGCACTCATCCTCTTCTGACAAATTAGTGCTGCTTTGTGAGACTCAGAAGAGGCTTTTGAAGAATGTGCAAATAATTACAAGTGTAAATCCAACATGCTAATGCCTCTTAACTAATAGAGGTGAACAATTATTCTCGCCTGCTCGCTGCCTACACGGGCTGATGAAGGGCTTTAGAAATACCCTTGTTCATTAGTGAGGGAGGAGAAGTAAAATACATTTGAGTGAGAGAGAGGAAGTTATAGGAGGGGAAAGAGAGGCAGGTGTATCAGTGAGACCTAGTCTGCACTAAAGTAGAAGGATATGTTTCCCCACATTCACAAGCCCATCCTGCCCTCTGCTGAGAGGTACAGGACATTCGTGATGGGGTTATTTATCTCACAGCAGCATTAAGTTAATTCAACAAACCTCTTAAGTATCAAATATTCCAAGGTCACGGAAAAGTCCATCCAGAGTCACAAGGGTCCAAGTTGAGTCTCAAGAGGTTTTCAGTTGTAATCTATCTGAAGTAGGATGAAACATGCAAAACAATGTATGAGTTCACTCAAATTACACACACAACAAATCCTAACTCACAGTGGCAGAAGTCAACAAACTTCCAGTTGAATTTAAGTCAATATAAATATAAATATTTGCTCTGTTGTTTAAAGTTCCCTGCCTACATCCTGTCTGTGGTTAAAGTAAAAGCAAATTGACTTGACAGGATAAAAATGCATGCAAGAACACAAAAGAGCACACAACACGGTGATATCTAAATTCGCTTTATTCTTACATCCAAATATACACCTTCATCATTGCCGTTATGGTTGTCAAGAATGTAATCCTAATCATTACCTTAAACACCACGCATCTTTAATTCAGCATTAATAGCTATTTATTTTCTGTTTTAAAGCTAAAGCTGTAATAAATAAAAAATAAAACATTTGGTCCTTTAATATATTGTCTAGGCAACATGGTATCAGGGGTTAAGACAGAAATGTCTTGTTGCTACTCACACAAAACATCAAACATCACTGAAAAGGTTGCTGAAAAAGTGTTGTAGGACGACAGAAGAAAGAGCCATTTGAACGTGAGGCTGATTGCCACACAGAGCAAGTGTTGGGTACACCGAGAGAAAGGGAGAGAATCTGTGAGAGCCAGCGAAGCATTTAGTGACCACGGCTGTGAAAATCAGATGAAAGGCGGCGAGACAGAGAAGAGATGAAAGACAGAGAGGCTGAAGAGTGATGAAGCTTACAACAGACCCAAAGAGAGGCACGTATTTACAGTTCATGGAGCAGGATGGAATAGAAATAAAGTGAGCCACGGTGCAGAGCAAGATTGTCTGCCACAAACAAATAAACACATTATAGAAAAATCTTGTAGGTTTAAAAGTTTTGTTTTGATCAAAAACTAAACACCACACACTTGTGACAACAAAACTACCAGTGGACTGCTCCTATTGAATCCAATTCATATGAGCATCGTCTTAACAGTGATTTTTAATCTCTTATCATTATTATTATTTGGATGATAAAATATTACACTTTGGTGCAGAATGGGAGGCAAGAGGGAGTTGGAGCTGGAAACCAGAAAGTGTCCTGCATTTAAAACCGTCACCAAGATGGACTTTAATACCAATAGCAGAGAGATTATTATTTTCTCAAATTCATTTCCTGTCACATTAAGGGAGCCTAAAATGTTTCACACATATTGCTTTTTCCATTGTCAAATAAATGGAGATTTTTTTTATTTCAGCTATTGCTTCCATATCATTTTCACTTCAGCTCCCCTGCTTGCTCCAACAATCACTAACACAGATATGTATGTATTGTACATTGGGATGGATTCGATCAGACTCTACCGTTGCCTGGGCCAACCTTTTAAATCACCAATAAACTCTTCTCTCTTCCATCGATGGCTTGGGTCGAGAGTCACATGAACCCCTGATGTTCTAAGACAATCACATAGAGTATATGCAAAAGATGTACTTGTCCACTTGACATATTTGATGTCTGGTGACACCACTCTGTATATCAATGGCTCTGCTTATCAGCAGCGGGCCTTTTGTGTCTTAGTTCCTCTTAGTCTTTTCAGGCAATGAATGCGGAGGGTCTTTTTTCCCACCTTTAGGAGCAGTGGCCTTTGCAAGGGGGGCTGCATGTGCTGACTGGGTGGATGAGGTGGTGGAAGCCTGAGCGGCAGGAATAGAGGGGGTATTGAGTTTTGTGGAGTGGGTAGGGGCAGCTGTTGGGGTTGATATTTGTTTTAGGACGGGAGAAGAGGCACAATGGATACCAGAGGAGGTCAGAGATGAAGGCTTAGTGGAGCTCGAGTTTGGACACGATGAGGATGATGTTGTCCCCGGGATTGGTTTGGTCGAATGACCAGAGACATAAGTTGGGCTTGGAGTAAGGACAGGAGAGGTTTGCTGCACAGGATGAACTGAGAAAGTTATTTTACGTGGAGAGCTAACGCTAGCTGGTGTCGGGGCAGACAATGCAGTTTGTGTTGGGGTCTGTTTGGGGATCTGGCCCTGGTTGGGGCCTCTAGCTGAGCTGGAGATTGAGGGCTGGAGACAAGGAGTTGGACTCAGGGATTTACTTACAGAGGGGACAGGTGTCACAGGAACCGGAGAATGGGAAGGAGTAGGACTAAGGGTCTGTGTAGGTGTTTGGGCGGGGGTAGAAGTGCGTGTACGGGTAGTCTGAGTGGGTGTTAGTATCGGAGAAGGGATTGGAGTTTGTGTGGGACTTGGGCCAGACAATGGAGAAGCAGAAGGAGGCGTGTTGGACGCCTTGGCTCGGGGGCTCTGGGGACGAGGTGGGATAGAGGTGATTAAGGAGGATGGGGGAGAGGAGGAGGTGAAAGATGACTTTGGCCCATAGGTTTGAGGTGGTGGGATAGGGGTAGAAACAGAAGATGGGGGCGGTGTGGAGGAGGGAGAGGGAGAGGACGAGCGGGGAGAAGATGTAGGGATTGGTTTGGGACGAGGAGTTGAGGAGAGCGACAGCGGGTTTGCTAAAGGAGGGGTGGAGCTGCGAGGAGGAGAGAAGGAGCCAGAGTGTGTCATTGAGATTGGTTTAGGGCGCGGTGTAGGAGGGGGTATAGGTGTAGGTGAAGAGGGGGTGGGAGAAGAGAGAGGGGTCTGCTTTGGAGGGGAGAAAGATGACTTTGGCCCATAGGTTTGAGGTGGTGGGATAGGGGTAAAAACAGAAGATGGGGGCGGTGTGGAGGAGGGAGAGGGAGAGGACGAGCGGGGAGAAGATGTAGGAATTGGTTTGGGACGAGGAGTTGAGGAGAGCGACAGCGGGTTTGCTAAAGGAGGGGTGGAGCTGCGAGGAGGAGAGGAGGAGCCAGAGTGTGTCATTGAGATTGGTTTAGGGCGCGGTGTAGGAGGGAGTATAGGTGTAGGAGAAGAGGGGGTGGGAGAAGAGAGAGGGGTCTGCTTTGGAGGGGAGGAATATGTTAGGGGAGCTGCAGGCTTGTGTGCGGCTGCAGGTACAGCGGTGCTGTGAGGGGCAGCCTGTGTGGGCAGATACTGTGCTAAGGCAGGCTGAATAGGAAATGCAGCCTGAGCGTGTGTGTGTGTGTGTGCGTTGAATGGAATATGTGTCACTAGCTGTACTGGAGTGTTTGAGGTCAGCATGCCTGCACTGCCTCCCCTGGCTAACTGCCCTGCCAGGAAAGGAGCCGCCAGCAAATTACCACCAGAGGCCTTCCTGTGGAGAGGGGGGTGAGGCTGCACTCCAACCCAGGAGCGGTGAGGCAGGGTGGGCTGCGAGGCCGACAGCAGCCTGGCCTCCTGGGTGAGTCTGCCCAGTGCCGGCAGACCCTGAGAGCTGGTTCCTCCATGACGTAACAAAGCTTCCTTTGCCCCCTGGTGGCCCATCATAAAAGTGTTGCCGTCTGACGGGGCTCTATAAGCAGCAGGGGGGTTGGCGGCAGGTACTTTATGGAGAGGTGGAGTCAGTGTCCCTCCACCTGTCGGGGTTCCTAGTGATCCAGCAATCATTGAGGGATGATCAGCTTGGAGGCGGAGGCTGGTATGAAGAGTCCTGCCTGGTTGGACAGATGCTGGGACAGAGGATGCTGGTATGGGTGGAGTTTTGGCAATCGGGGGCGAGGTCAACCCACCAGGAGGGCCCATGGTCGAGGGAGAGGCAGGAAATCCTCTGGGGGACAAACCACCCATTCCTCCCATCCCTCCCATCCCTCCCATTCCACCCATTCCTCCTATTCCTCCCATCCCTCCCAGAGTCATCATGCCGATGAGAGAGCTCACAGACGGGCGGAGGGGCTGTAACACAGGAGGACGAGGGGTAGACAAAGAAAAGGTAGAGGACGGAGAGGGAGACACAAGAGGTGAAGGCAAGAAGAAAGCCCCTCCCAGTGCATGCTGCTGCTGCAGCTGCTGCAGCTGCTGTTGCTGTTGCTGCTGGTGCATGAGGGCGATGGCTACATTACTGGTGGCAGCAGCCGCCTGCAGGGGGGCGTTGACCAGCGGAGCCCAGATGACCGGGCGCGGCCGAGGAGACACCGAGCCACTTCTTCCCATGACTCCGCTTCTTCCTGCAGCAGCGGCCGCAATGGCATCCTGCATCGCCGGCATGCTGTCGTGTTTGACAATCTGCTGCACCAGCATGCTGTCACAGGAGCCCAGACCTCCCCTGGTTCCTGGACCCCCTCCACCCCGGCCTCCACGACCCATACTGCCCCCCAGAGAACCGCCCTGCGACGACTTCCGCAGAAGCATAGAGTTCTTCCTGCCTGTAGGGAAAGAAATTCGTTATTAATTTTGAGATATTGAAAAGAAACTGTGTAGGAGGCATTTGGAAGCATCTAACATTGTGGGTGCAGATTGGAACCAACTGAAATTTCAGATTAACAAGCCTCCTCAAGATAAAGCGGTGGTCATTCTTAAGACCCTTCATCTTGCACAGAAGCCAACCTTTCCACAACAGTGCAATGGATTTCAGACAGCGCTGGTATTACTGCAGATTTACAAGTGTGTTGTAGAACTAGAGTGGACCCTCTTGTTTGTATGTTCTGAGCTACTGTATTAACTTGGCAGTGCAACGTGGAAGAGGACCCTCTCCCTATGGAGATATGAAGGCCCTATTTTAAGATAATGAAAACACATTGATTCTCAGTTTCAGATGATGATTGTATGCTAAAGGAAGGATAGTTATGAATATTCAATTACATTTCAGCTAATATATCCTCCTAAACATTATACATATAAGTGCCAGAAGTGAAAGATGTGAAAAGAAAACTTTTACTTTTGTAGAAGCTTTTTACTGAGCACAAAGTAAACGTTTGATGGCTAAGCTTCAAGGTTTTTCTTTTGTCAATGGAGAACCTTGCTGATCCGTTTTTTTAAAGGTCCTTTCATCTGAGGACAAAGAGCCTAAGAAATGTTGCAGAATTTAAAAGATGATTTGAACTAGTGTGCAAGGTCGTTGCAGGGTTAAATAACCAAATATGAAATAGACAGCCACTGCATAGATAAGACGGTTAGAGAAATATATAACATAATCAGAAATCCACACTTTACCGATTCGGTCCAATCTGTCAACAGCGACAGTTTCAAAGGCACGACGCATCATGGGATGTTCCTCCAGCACCTCGTTAAAGTTGTCCACACTGAGCGAGTACAGGCGACAGTATGTATCTGCACGGACGCTGGCTGTCCTCCGTCCATGAGTCAACAGACAGATCTCTGAAAAAGATATTAGGCTGCGAGTTTATGCTTAAACATGAACCACCATCACCTTAACCTCTTTACCTTTCTGTGCAATTATCTAAACAGCTCTGCATGTTCTCACCTCCAAAGTAAGAGCCATCACTCAGCTTGGTTTCTTTGTTGCCGCGGGTCAGCACACCAACTCGCCCATGCTGGATGAAATACATCTTCCGTCCCACTGTGCCCTCGCGGATAATGAAGTCTGAAGGCTGAAACACTTCAAAGTGGAGCTTGATCAGCACTGCTGTCACAAAGTTGGGATCGGCGTTGGCAAACAGCGGCATGTTAGCCACCAGGCTCCGGCAGTTAAAGCTGACTATCTCCTGGAGGAAGAAGACACGAAGAGAGAGTTAGTCAAAGAGATTGGCTGGATGACAGTCAGTACATATGTCTGTACGCTGTACGTGTAGATTAGGGAGTGATGGTGAATTATTTACCTCTTTCAGTGGCTCGCTGAGTTCTCCAAGGATGTTCTCCTCGTCAAACATCTTCCCCTGGAAGCGGTGCTCATAGTATTCGTGGATCTTTTGACGCACATCTGCAGGAAGTTTATGGAACGACATGTACTGCTCCACCTGCTTGTACTGCAATATCACACAAACACACACAGACACAGGTCAGGGATCTGCAAACAAGTTTTAAAAGAAGAGAGCATGACAACATTGATTATTCTATTGGTTCCCATCCTTTGAGTCTACTTAATATTTCTCCCTCTTCCTCCCTGTGACCCCTGTGTCAGCTTTGACAAGGGGTCACAGCTGAGGGATTGATTTTGGACAGAGCCAGGTTATAAGGAGTTTGACTCGACTTTCCATTCTCAGATTGTTAATTATTTGGAAATTTGGAATAAAAAAGTGTATCCAGCATTGCAGAAGAAAAAGAAAGATGACAAAATGTGTTTTTGACTCAGTTCTATCCCATGAATCATTTTGAGATCCCTCAGGTCCATCCTACTGCTTTTTAACCCGAGTTTGGAAACCACAAGATTTTACTTTTGACAAAAAAGTTGGTCCTGGGAAATTGCGATAGCTGAGTTGATTCATAATAAAACCACCAAAGGTTAATTGATAATAAACATTATCATAGACAGAGGTTTAAGGACTCACGGTAACATAGTTACACGATAATAAGTATAGTACAGAATGAGTGTTGTGTTTCACCTTTTCTTGGTACTGTCGCCTCGAGGAGTCCAGAGACTGGATGAGAGCGGTGGCGTGTCCGATGAACATGGCGTAGCAGGTGGCCCCTACGATCATGCTGAGCATGGTGAGCCACACATCAGTCATCCCTTCTGGAGCCTGTGCTCCGTACCCAATACACAACATGTGGCTCATGGCTTTGAATAGAGCATAGGAGTACTGGAGGCCCCATGAGTCATTCTGTGAGTGGGAGGCACACAGAGAGGGTGACAGGAGGAGTTAAAAAGAAGTTGTTAATTACCAAGGCGGTGCAATATTGAACTGTTCTTATTTTAATCCTGTTACAAGAGCTTTTTCATCTCACCTCATAACATGCAACAGAAGAGCAATTTAGCTGTCAAAACCCACTTTACTCTAAAACTGAAAGGCTGCAGAACGTATAAAACCACACAGACGATAAAAAGGCTGTCTTCCTGCATTAATAACTAGGCCTAAATATGTCTGAATATCATATATAACTACTGTGTGTGTGTGTGTGTGTGTGTGTGTGTGTGTGTGTGTGTGTGTGTGTGTGTGTGTGTGTGTGTGTGTGTGTGTGTGTGTGAGAGAGAGTGAGAGAGAGAGAGAGAGAGAGAGAGAGAGAGAGAGAGAGAGAGAGAGAGAGAGAGAGAGAGAGAGAGAGTCCGCCCTAGTGTTTTAAAGTTGTGTCCAATTATACTAAGATGTTAATAGTGAGGGGAGTTTCTCTGGGGAAAATCCCAGCATCAGGCTGCTTAGCAACAGTCACCAAGGCAACCACTGAGACATGAGTCAGCTTTTCCTACAGCTGTGTATCTGTGTTCATTCATGGACGTTCACGTCTGCACGCCTGACTGCACAGGGATGAAATCTCCAGCAGGTCCCCCAGGTCTTGGACTGTTTGCGTGAGTTCCCCCCTCCACCTGCTCTCTGCTGGGCTTTTAATTGGAAAATCTTTTATTTTATTTTGGTGACGACAATGATAGGCAATCTAATTCAAACTGGACTTGTTGCTGCATGACCCAATTAACACAGATAAGGAGCAAATATTGTCAAATCTGATAAACAACCTCACTCTGCACACATAAAGATAACATGACCCGGGTATATTGAATCTGTGTTTTGCATTTATCAGAAAAATATTGTGCACACTGTTCAAACAAGCTGAGATATCGCTTTGTGCGTTTTATCAGATGCCATGGCATTGTTTGACTACACGATAACATAAATTCAGAAACACATCAGTCACGTTAAATGTGGACGGCTGTTTAGAGACTCACCACCATCAGATTCTTGGAAACCCAGCAGTCAGGAGGGAAGTCCTGCAGCATGGGGACGAGGAACTGCAGACAGCCATCCCAGTGGCACAGCAGCAGCATCATCCCGATCAGATTCACGATCCTCACCATGGCACTGGCAAGGTCATAGGTCATGTGGAAGATCTGAGGGGAAAGAGGAGGAGGAGAAAAGTGATGCAGGTGCAGTTTACCTTTTCACAAGGAATTTATTCTATAAATAAGTCAAAATACATTTGAATGAGATCATTCCTTCAGCTCTTGGGCACATTATGAAAGAAAAAGCTTTAAATCCCGTAAAACAGGATATTTTGTAAATCTAAAGGCCTGTAAAAAGTAATGCCTTACATATTTAATGATTATAGACAGAAAAATAATCACTTAATATTGTTTGCAGCCTCTTAAATATGGGGATTTCCTGTTTTTCTCAGTTTTATATCCTATTTAAAGGAATACCTTTTGGTTTATGAGTGACAAAACAACACATGTAAAACATTACCCTCGGAGTTTAAGGAAATGGGATGGACATGCTGACATTTTATAGACATACTATAAAGTGCTTACATTTTGTAGAACACACAATTAATAGCTTAATTGAGAAAATAATCGGCTGATTAATCCATAATGAACATAATTGTAAGTTGTATCCCTATTTTGAATATTTCTTTGATTGTGATATCTGTTCCTCACCTCCTCCCACTGATGGATGTAGCGGATGAGTCGGGACAGGCGGAGCAGTCGAAGCAGGCTCAGGATTTTGGTGAAGCGGACGATGCGCAGCGCCCTGGCCGTCCTGTAGACCTCGGAGTCCAGACTGTCCACCATCAGAAAGATGTAGTCCACCGGGATGGAGGACACAAAGTCCACGAGGAACCAGTTCTTCAGATATTTCTGGCGAATCGCCCTAAATTAGATTAGGATGGAAAACAAATGATATTTGTAATTTGGCAGACCAGCTTTGTGGAGACGATTTGAACATTTGGCTAGTATCATCAGTATTCAACAGACACACGACTGGAATATGAACAAAGCCCCGCCACTGGCTGCATGTCACCTTTCACACGTCACTCATGGATTGTTTCAACACAAACCAGCAGATGGTCAGAAGAGCTGATTAAAAAAAGCTTCACATCTCAAATCAAAAGTGCTAAGTCTAAGTATTATCTGTCAGTTACCACAAAAAACCTGAATAATCCTAGACAATTTTGGAAAACCATTCAATCGATATCCACCGGTGAAATCCGTAATGAGCTACCTCCTTGCCTTACCACGGCATCTGGCACTATATCGGACAGGGCTACTAAGTTAAATTGTTTTAATGAGCATTTTGTGTCCTGTGGCTCTCTGTTTGATTCTGTTACTAACTCTGCTTCTGTGAACACCACAGTCTGTGACTCTGAACAATGTGGTTTGGAAAACCCCTTCAGTTTTTCTCCTTTTACTATTGATGTTGTTCATGAAGCCTTAACCAAGTTAGATCATAAGAAACCGGCTGGTCCAGACTCCATCACTGACACAACGTAGACTCTATGCATTACATTAATGCACACAATGTTAAAATACTGCTTACTGCACATATTCTTATTTCATATTTCATATTTTATATTCTATAACTCATTGCATTCCATTTCGCTGTAAATTACTGCTTTATTTTATTGCTATTTAACTATATTTTTGTTTTATATTAGATTTCTTGTTTTATATGGAGATTATTTGTTTTATATTTTATGTATGCACCATGACATCAAGTCAAATTCCTCGTATGTGTGAACCTACCTGGCAATAAACCCGTTTCTGATTCTGATTCTGATGATATTGCGGGTATCTTAGACAATAAGCAGAGTTGTGCAGCTCTGTTTATTGATCTTTCCAAAGCGTTCGATACCGTCGATCATCAAATCCTGAAGCAGAGGCTGGCCAGTTTTGGCATATCCAGCCATGCAGTGGGGTGGTTTGTGAACTACCTCTCTGAAAGGTCCCAATGTCTTCAATTTGATGGGCTCACTTCTGAGTGGTTAAACATTACAAATGGTGTTCCACAAGGTTCTGTTTTAGGTCCATTATTATTCTCCATCTACATCAATAGTTTAGGTCAAAATGTGGATGAAACAACTTTACATTTTTATGCGGACAATACCGTGATGTACTGTGCAGGTCCCTCCATTAAGGAGGCTGTTGTTAAATTACAGGCTGTTTTTAATATTATTCAGACTCAGCTCTCTGAGTTTAAGCTTCTTTTAAATGTTGATAAAACCAAGGTAATGCTATTTTCAAAAGCCAAAAAGACACCGGAGACAGCTTTGGATATTGTTACTGCGCAAGGAAAAATACTTGAAGTGGTTACCTGTTATAAATACCTTGGTATCTGGCTTGATGATTGCCTCTCTTTTAAACTTCAGGTCGATAATCTGCTTAGAAAGCTGAGGTTGAAGCTAGGTTTCTTTTTCAGAAACAAGTCCTGTTTCTCACTTGAGGCCAGAAAAAGGCTAGTCTCTGTGACCTTTTTACCTGTGCTGGACTATGGTGATCTGATTTATATGAATGCACCTGCCCATTACCTGATCAAGTTAGATGCCGCCTATCACAGTGCACTGAGATTTGTTACTGACTGTAAAGTACTTACTCATCACTGTACCCTGTATGCCAGGGCAGGTTTGCCTTCACTCACTGTACGGAGGCTCAGTCATTGGTACATGCTCTCATTTTCACCTCACATAAATAACATCACCCGGACTGCCTCCTTCCACATACGCAACATCTCCAGACTCCGCCCATCCCTTTCTTAATCAAACACTGAAGTCAATGCATTTGTCACCTCCCGCATCGACTACTGTAACCTCCTCTCAGGCATACCCACCAAGCTCATCAATAAACTACAAATCATACAGAACTCTGCAGCCCGGATCATCACCGGCACCAAGGCCTCAGAACACATCACCCCCATCCTCATCCAACTCCACTGGCTCCCTGTTCAATCCCGTATCAACTTCAAAAACCTACTGCTCACTTACAAAGCCCTACATAACCTGCCCCCCCCCCCTATCTGGCTGACCTTCTTCAGGAGTACACCCCCTCTCGCTCCCTCCGCTCCTCCTCTGCTGGTCTGCTAACCGTCCCCACCCCACGCCTCGTCACCATGGGTGCTCGGGCTTTTAGCTGCACTGCTCCCAGACTCTGGAACTCCCTCCCCCCCGCACATCCGACAGTCAGACACAATCACCATATTCAAATCCCAATTAAAAACCCACCTGTTCAAATCTGCCTACTCACTGTAGTGCTCCCCATTATATGTTTCATTTGTGTCCACTTGATTGTCTCCTCCATGATTTCCTGTTTGTGTTTTTATCATGTTCTGTTGCCTATTAGCGTAGTTTTTAACAAATTGTACGGTGTCCTTGGGTGTCATGAAAGGCGCCTAAAAATAAAATGTATTATTATTATTATTATGTTCATATATAAAGCCATGTTGGGTAAACTCCCATCTTATATCTGCTCTCTGATCACACAGAGAGTTGCAGGTAGCTATTGCCTGAGATCACATGATGTGGTCTTGTTACATGTGCTAAGTGCAAGGACTGACTTAGGTATGAAAGCTTTTATGTGCACAGCTCCTCTTGCTTGGAACAGTCTTCAAAAAATAATTGAAACTGAGCAATTTGGTTCCACTGCATGTTTTTAAAGCTCGGATAGGTGAAATGCTCTTTGATGCTGTTGGTACTTGTAAATGTCGATAAGTATGTGAATGTAGCCCTGTAAATACGATGTATGATGTCCTTTATTGTTTTATGTTGTTTTATGTTTCATGTGTAACCTACTTGCTGCAGGTCTCCCTTGAAAAAGAGATCAATGATCTCAAGGGACCTACCTGGTTAAATAAAGGTTTGAAATGAAATTAAAATGAAAATGTATGGTGACAGAGCTGCTGTATTGATATTCTCGACCATAAACATAATTAACGCCCCCAAACGTGTCTCCTGACCTGGGGTCCAGCAATATCTCAGTGTTGTCCTCTTTGATGATGCCGGTCCTGAAGTTGAGAACCAAGTCGACCATGAAGAGAGTGTCGGAGACGACGTTGAAGATGATCCACGAGGGAGTGTTCTCCTCTCTAAAGAAAGTGATGCCCACTGGCAGGATGATTAAGTTTCCCATCATCAACATCAGCATCAACAGGTCCCAGTAGAATCTACAGAGATTGAGAGAAAGAAAGTCAACTTTTAATGCTTTTTCTGTTTGTTTTCTGAGTGTAAAATATTCTGCTCTAAGTTTAAGATATTTGTTTTCTGCTGCATTGAGAAAGTGACAAGTCTCCCACAATGCAATGCACAAAGGAACTGGTAGAGCTGTTGACTGCTGGAAATGTTTCATTAAATTGTGGGTGGTGGTAAAACAGCTCCAGAGAGATGTTGGAAAATAAAGATGTGTTATATCTTAGAAAACCTTTTTTCATTTCTATCTCTGAAGTTTAATTAGCGATGACATTCAAATGTCCCAATATCCCACATATCATGGGATAGAATGGAAGAAATAGTCTTGGGAATCCACATTGTCCAACGCAATGAGCCAGAGCCCACAGAATCGAGTCATAGTGATCAACAAACAAACAATAGATCATTGTTAACTGAGAAACTTTAGATTTAGAGCTGCTAGTCATCTCAACCAACAAAATAAAAACAATTGCTGGTTCCAGTTTTCTGTTGTCAGCATTTGCTCATGAAACTGCTTTATTTCTTGATACCTGGGCATTTAAAAAATAAAAAACGTCACTTTAACTCAAGTTTGTGTGATTGATCAGTGCTGACCTGAAATTATTCAGTACTGGCTTAAGTTGTAAACATTTGATTCAGTATTCAACCCTGTTTATTACAAAAATGCTGCTGCCAATAAAAGCTTTGTTCATATATTCTTTTAAACGGTCAATTCAGTTGTCATAAATGCATTTATTTGACATACTACTTTGAATTAGGGCTTTGCTTGTCGTAAACCTGAAAAATGTAGCTTAAATATTAAATTTTTACGAGACATTCAGATTGTCAAAGCCTCCCAAGGTTCCCTTCGTCCCTCTACGTCTGTCTCTATCTCTAGATTCAGTTCAGCTCTGCTTTATTGGTATAAGAGATAAAAGATACAAATGAAATTGTCCTCAGGGAAACATTCAAGACTGCCATGCAAAAACTGCAAATGAGATTTCAGCAGTGCTTGTATCCTGACTTGTATATCAAACAAAGCATTTAACACGAGTCATGACTGCGCGCAAGTTCAAATGTAACTTAAAATTGACCAACAAACATCACACATCATCCCGGAGGAGAATATTTGTGTAGCATGGGTTAGAAACGTTTGAAAATGCAAGCAGCAGAGGTCTAAATGTACAGACTTTAAGTCCTGTTGTGTATCTAGTCGAGGACCAAAGATACTGCATCCTTCATATCCCATAATACATGCAGTATCTGTCCTTCAAACCAGACCTCCAGTTTGTACACAGGCGGGCGTGTGATATAATAGGTTTCTAAGGGGAAAATGTATCCACAGAACTGCTTGCTTTGGGAAAGAAGTGAGTAAACAACTCGATCAATGAGACTTTGATGATAATGAACGAGCTGTCAGAGTTTAAATACATAAAGACATATCTCGATTTTAGTTTCTTTGTCCACCGTGGAGGCATGCGAGAATGTTTTATTAAAGAATTCAGGGTAACACAGCGGTGTCAATCATTTAGTGGGTGAAGTATTATTTTGAAAAGGTTTCCAGAGCAACAAAAAACACAGTTCAGTTTTTAACGACCGAGTAGATTTCTCCATGAATGTTAAACCACCCTCATTTTGTTAATTAGATAGAGTGCCCCTTTTAAGGATAATTTCATATAGATTTGGGTGTGCAAACATCTTTGAGCCGACTTTCCCCTCCCCTTCTACAAGCACCATCTTTTCTTCCATTTAATCCCTTCATTTCTAATTCCCTGTTATATATATTTGTTGAATTTGTAATATATATAGTCTCCCCTTTGTTACACTCCCTGATCCAGACGCTGAGTATAACAACTTGAGGATCATCCAAGATGAAGAAGTGCAGATTCTTCCTGGAAGCATTTTTCATATGCAGGTGTGTTATATGATGTAAGTGCTTCTCTGCAGACAGGTGCATCCTTTGTAATAAGTAGTTCATCCTTTATCTACCTCAAAAACAGAGCATAACTGAACTGAACTGAAAAAGAGGGACAGACAAAGAGAGACAAAGCGAGGCATATGATCGGTAACCTTGGGAGGCTTCATCGTTTTGCTCGGTGATGTAGCTGTCTCGTAAAAAAAGCTGTCAGTGATTAAAGAACGACACAAGAGGCGTTCCAATCATCTGGAGATGACTCCTGTCGTCTCTCTGTCTGTTTCCTTCTAATCCCTTCATCCATCACCTTGACCCGTATCAGTGACTTCCTTCTTTCTGCATCTTCTCTCTTCATCTACACACACGCACTCTCTTTCTGAGACGAAGTACACTCAAGCTCTGGGGTCGATTGCTATTGAGCTCTAATTTAGTAACACAACCTCATGTGGTGTGACGCTGCCGCTCCACTGATGAGGATTAAGTATGAGTCATCACTCCTGCTACACACAAACACACACACTTCTCCCTGACTTTGTCACTTATATGACAGATGTATCATTTTATAGTCACTGGCAATAAAGACAGGGATTATAAACACAGAAACACGATACAGAGGTTCTGCAGCTCCTGCTGAGACGGAGGCTGAATGATGATGATCATGACCTTGAGGACCTGCTTTTAACTCCGATTCTAGGAAACAATTGGACTTTTTGAGATGTCAATGTTCAATAGAAGCCATTTTTGGTGGCAGTTTCAAAGTTGTAACTAATTACATTTACATACCCACTGTACCTAAATATAGTTTTATGGAATCTGTACTTTACAGATTCCATAAAACACATAGCTGTATTTCCATGTTATGCTACTCTATACTACTTAGCTATATTGCACTTTTGAACTCAACTACATATATTTGACCGTTATAATAACCAGATACTTAGCACTTGAAAAAAACATATAAAAGGATAATAATAAAAAAAAAACGAATTAGTAGCCTTAAAATGCAGTGTGACTTGTGCCACTTATTTTGAAATATCTTAAAAAATAAGTAGCATAGGCTTATAGTGGCCTTTAGACTTGAAATGTATTATTTTTAGTATATGTAAGTATACAGTAGGTTACCTCCACTGTTCATTATATACATGAACTTTTCTGTAATAAGACCTATTAAATGATTTCTCCCGACATGTCTATAAACACAAACACACACAGACTTGGACATAGTTGTGCATTGTTGCAATGTTCTCCTCTCAGACAGCTCACATAGATTTGAATGACGGTTAATCTATTCTCATCTGTATTTAGCTATCATGTTTTAGTCTGCTGAGTAACGATAACACTTGAGATTGAACATGTCACTATGCATTCATCAGCCTCTGTGCACAAGACGTGCTGTTGTCACCGAGATGAGAGACCAATCAGAGAAAACAAGCAGAAAGACAAGAGGAGATGATGTGAGGGTTTGTCATGTTGCCTAAACACTTGGCAAGGCGATGGACTGATGCAACACCGACTCGTGTGTAGTGTGTAGTGTGAACTGTGTGGTTTAATAGTGTCACACAGTCTCACACACAGATAGGAATTGCAAATGCAATCAAAGCTGATCTCCAAGCCTCATCAGTATTCCATCTTAACATGAGCAGGTGCTGGAAAGTTACCTGCATCTTCCTGCTCTGCTGTTGTCAAACCAAACACTAACTATAATGTAATCGAGGCCAAGTGTCTCCTGAGCGGACCGTGATTGGTTCCCTGCTCGCCATTGGCCAGGTGTCAGTTCGGAACAAGTTTCCACCCATCATCCTGCCAGACGTACAGACACACGAGCACAGCAGCAGCCGGCTATTACATCACAAATCCTTGTTACCCATTTTACTGTCACCGAACCTGTCTCAACACGACTCATCTGCGGTGATAATCAAACCGCCTGACTTCCTGTTGTCACCTCTCTTCTCACTTTCTATGCTCTTTGTGTTCCAGTGTATTAATAACACACACACACACACACACACACACACACACACACACACACACACACACACACACACACACACACACACACACACACACACACACACACACACACTATTGAAAGCCCACAGGTCTCTGGTGTTCAAGGTCAATACCTGGACGAAAACTCAATAAAAAGGGGCTTTAGAAGTAATCTTTTCTCCTCGCTCACTCCGGCCTCACAAAGTTCCACTTCAGGCATTCACTCCTGACTACAGGTACTTAACGGAAAAGTTAGATGACTGAATTATGCATAATGCATACTCAAGTTGCATAATTTAGGAAGTCATACATAATTAATCAAAATTCGATTGACTCCGACAGGTTAATTAGTAGGTGTATTCACATCTTTAGATATCTTGCATGAGTATCATTAAGAGCAGGAAGGGAATTTGTCCTTCCCTCCGTCCCTCACTGACCTCGTTCAATGGATCTCTTGTGTGTAGACTCAGAAGCAGGACTGGCGAGGGATCATCAAATTGACAGACAATACAAAGCGACTAAGTGTGATAGTGTGTGTGTGTGTGTGTTGTGTGTGTGCGTGTGTGTGTGTGCGTGTGTGTGTGTGTGTGTGTGTGTGTGTGTGTGTGTGTGTGTGTGTGTGTGTGTGTGTGTGTGTGTGTGTGTGTGTGTGTGTGTGTGTGTGTGTGTGTCGCTGGTGAGACAAAAGTGGGCCAGGAGCCTTGGGGATCAAGTCATCCATTGTTGCTACAGCTTGTCTGGATAATATGAATGTTGTCTCTTTCTCTGCTGTCCATCTACAAATGTGCCCGTCTCTAACCCATGACTGCAGAGCCTTTATCCAATCGCTGGTCCATTTAATAATTTTGGCAAAAGCCTGATTTAATGAAACAATATCCTGCAGAACACATTGATATTTGAGCAATGGCAACAACTGCGGCTGCAAAGAAACCCTAATAAAGGAAGACGGATTGTCAATAACACAGTTAATATCTTAGCGAGAAGAAGGCTAAACTGTTTTCTTTCCAACACTTCACCAATATTGTAGTTAGCGAGAGCCTCAAATCACATGCCTGCAAGTTTGCAAGGAAAATAGGACAATAATACTCGTATAATAGGACCATATAAGCAAAAAGTGACTGCTGTGCATGCACGCAATATGGACTTTTGTGTTTGAGGCTAGTTGTTACAGCCAGAGAAACACAGACTATAAGAATTTACCACCAGGTACGGTACATATTTTTCTTAAAAAGGGGAATTTTACTCAAGGAAACTAAAAACAGCAGGCTATGCTGCGGGGGGTTCCTCCACAGTTCACATAAAAACGTACTTAACATTTCATCTAATTGACATGAAAGGAATTATTTTGCTGCTCCCTGATCATTAAATCTAATGTTTTGTCCTACCTTTATCTCCCTCCAACTGTGAAACCATTTCTTCTGGAGACAACCTTTCAAATACTCTCTATGTAGAATCTTAATTCTCTAACCAGTCATTGCTGCATGTTTTCTACAATGGAGGTCCCTATTACACTAACCTTTACATAAACACCTCTCACTGCCTTCATCATGACCCAGGACTTTACATCCACTCTCATTTTTTCATCATCCCTTTTAATCTTTCATACAGCCGCTGCATGTTTCCTCCATGGACTCTCCCACAGGCCTTTTTCACAACACACATCTTAACTTGTAGTCATAGCAGAAAAAGCACAGGTGTTAATTAACAATGGCTTTGCTGTATTGAAGTGTCACAATAAGTCATGGATGCCATCATTCAAAATGAGCAGCAAAAATGTAACAGAGCACTTTAATCCATATTTCAAACAAAAGGACTTTGGTTAATTGACAAATACATGTGATTGTGAGTGTGTGTGTGTTTGTGTGTGTGTGTGTGTACCTGAAGTCACTGTAAGGGTGTATGATCCAGGACCCTGCTGATTTCAGTCTCTGCTGCTCCAGTGCCACAGCTTTGTGGGACCCAAACATGCGCAGACTGAACTTGTTGACCCCGGGCTGCAGCATGGCTCCAAACTGTCTCTGGATGAAGGTGCTCTGGTTGGAGGTGCTGTAGTCCTCCCCATCCAGGCCCAAGCCAAACCCACCCAGTCCACACTGCCCCATCAAGTCAGGGGTCCCTGCTGCAGTGGTGTTGCACGTGGTGGTGGTGGTGGTCTCTGGGCCGGTGGCCACCACCATCACTCCGGTCCCGGTTGAAGAGGTGGAGGGCAGGGCGGCACGGGAGGCGGCAAAGCCCACTGAGCGAGGAGGAGGATGGGCTGAGGAGGAAGAGGGCGGGGGAGGAAGGGGCACCGGGGTGGTTGGGGTGCTAGCTGTGCGGAAGGAAAGTCCGTCCCTGTTGGAGGAGCTCATGATGGAGAGGCGACGAGCGCGTCCACCTAAGGAAGTGCTGTCCCCCACGAAGCAGCCCCTCTCCCCCTCCAGGGAGGCCTGGGACAGCCTGTACCCCGGGGAGGGCAGGCTGCCCTTACTGCGCCGCTTCGAGTCCCCTCTGGTACGCCTGGGGAGGCTGTCACACCCTGAACCCCCGCCACTACTGGGAGTACCCACACCTCCAGACACCCCATCCATCCTCACGCAGGGAGGAGGGGGAGCAGGGTGAGGGAAAGGGTGAAGAAAACTTGTAACCCTCAAAAAACGAGTCTTTATTTCAGTCGACTTATCTATATTATACTATATATTACACAAGTGAGAATGTCAATTTGAACGTAAATTGAAGAAGCTGAGGACACGTTATCTCTTTGTCTCCAGTCATTCTCCTGGAGCCGGCTACTCACACCTCCACCCTCTCTCTCTCTCTCTCTCCACCGATGTGCCCATGCTTACCTCGGTGCCCTTGGAAATAGCCCCATTCAGACAAATCACCCTGCTAGTGTGACGCCTGCAGCTTCACTTTTCCTCCTTTTTAAAAGAGTCTCCTATATGTCCTTACAGATGTTTCTGTATCATGCTTCCTTCCTCGTCCTTGAAACGTTTCTCACCCCTGAGGCCCTCCCCCTTCTCTCCACAGCCGCCCTTAACGCTCCACAGCCGGTCATTTTGGCACCGGATTCCCGGTCTTTTGTTGATAATGGAGCTTGCCTCTCATTGGTCGTCGGTGCCCTGCTGTTAAGCATATGTGTCCAGGCTGCTCACCCAAATTGTCTATTTTGAACAAATCATTATGCTGTAGATGACTTGGGCGGTGAGGTGGCAAAGTGGGAAACATTCATCCGCGGGTGAACGACAAGGGCACTTGATCCTCTTCCAGCAGGGATGGGTTGTTAATGGACATAAGGGACGCACGTAATAGGCGCACATAGCGCTCATACTAGGCGCACTGATTCATACTGACATGCACAGCAGAAACACGCACACAGAAAACCAGACCGACAGGGAAACACAAAATTACCGAAACAAGTCAAATGACTCAAAATCTTGCCCATGGTTTCACAGAATCCAAGCCACGTTGTCATGTTCAGTATCCGAGTGGAAAAATACTCATTGTGATGGGAGGCGCGCCGAAATGTTGCCGTCAGACAGCAAGAGGAGAGAGTACCGGCTTTACAAGAAAGCTTTATTTTAAAACTGACTAAATTAACCTGCTCAGGTGTTCAAAGTCTGACGCCCGAAATCTCCTGTTCTCTCATCGGCTGCCAGCTTCACTTCTGTCGAGTTTCAATGACATTGTGCCCAGACGTCGCTGTCCTTCCTCTCTGAATGACACCGGCGACAGATACAAAGGCTCGATATTTAAAAAGAATAAGCTGCTCCAAGGTAAAACGGGCTACTTTGCTGGATTCAAAAGCCTCATTAAAAAAATAAAACTACTTGTTGAGCCTTTCAGGTGGCTGCTCCTTCGTGAGCTGCTCAGAGAGAATCCAGTTTGAAGCTGAAATTCGCTCCTCGCTCAGCCCTCAGAGGTCGAGCTGGCGCGTCCTCAGAGGCGCACATCGCATGTAAATGACATATTAAATAAATAAATGTGCATATAAAAGGTCTGGATCTAATCGGCCTGTTGCCATGGCATCCGCATCCCCATCATCCGTCCCCCAAGGCAGCGTGCCCGGCCGGTACGAGACGCACGAATCCCTCGCAGGTAAAGCACGCACGTCATCGTCTCGCTCACCAATACAGCGAGGGAGCGTGAGAGCGATGATGAAACTTTATTGAAACCTCGGAAAAAGAACAATCTTTTTTAAGAATGGAAATGAGACTATAAAAAATGGAAGAGAAGATAAAATGCAATTGGATTAAATAATGAAAACAATATAAATGTCAAGTCCAAACTGATTAAACTAATCTCTTTAAAAGGCTTCTTCCAGTGCAATAAATTATAATTTTCCTATCAAATCTGCATAATAGCATATATAAGGAATTCAAATGCCAGACAAGTTGTATGTAAACACACAAAGGAACAAAACCTTTTGAGAGATAAGGTGAACAAATCAGTCATGGAGAGTAGCAAGAAAAAACGTTTTTTTAAGGTATTTTTTGTGCTTTACCTGATTATTTGTATTTTAAATGAGGCTTTTATTTACTAGACTTCACTACATTTCGAGGCAAATATTGTTGACCTTACTTCACAACATCTATCTGACAGCTGAACTTTGCAAACTGAAATTAAATAGAGAAAATACATTAACTTGTGACACATTTGTTGAGATAACTTCATTTAAATATTGACAAATTAGTTAAAAATACCATAAGCTCAACCAAAAAGCCTTAAAATTGCAGCCAACAAATTCCTTTTTTTAAGATAAATTATCAATCAACCTCCCAGATAATTGCACTATGCATATGCATGTGGATGTTATGGATATGTAGGAGGATTTGAGCATACTAGAGCTGGAAAGGAGGAGGAAGCTTGACAAAGGCATGGATGTCACATAAAGGCTCATCATACATGAGTAGGCCTTTCGCAGGAACAGAAATAATTAGTTTACAGGAGAACAGGAAGATGTCGGCATCTGGGTCATCTCTTGGACAAAAGGCTGCAGTCCAATACCCGTCATCTCTGCATCTCCCCGCCTGGCTCATAATGGGCAAAATAATTGTGCCGTCACAGAGATAAGCTTAGGACTATGGACTGGAATAAAATATTATCTACAAATTCTATAAAGGATACCAATAATGATACGCTTCAACAATGGCAGGCGAAGAGACAATGTTCACATTCAATTCAATATTACTCCAACAAATAGCAGAGATGAAAAGATTAATACGGCTCAATTAGTCAAGCTTAAGACTCTATGAAAGAGATGAACAGCGTGTTAAACTTAATGATTCAAGTTTTATTTGGAGGGAGTCATTGCTTTAAGACACGTTAAACACAAATTCAACATTCATGAGACCAGTGTTTCCCTAACATAACCCTGAGTTTAAATAACAATAATGCTGCTGCTTTAATGCTTTTGTTAAGCTATACTGTAACTCCCAGTGGTTATTGTTGAATTTAGAGAAAATTGGTGTTTTTTAGGTTCTTATGATGTTTATATGTCTGCATGTCAGTCAGATTTAGAGTCATGTAAAGTCGGGTTGTTATGGGACGTTGACTGCTCTCATAATGTTGGTGTGACCGGACCCCGGTATCCAGCCGGTCACCACGATCACCATGTCGCCCGACTTGAAGAATCCTCTTGCTTTCCCTGAAGAGGTGCATAGAAAGAGACAGAGTAGGGTGTGTGAGTAAGAAGGTTTCATAGCTAATAGGCAGGATATAATGGTGGCATATACTCAGACAAACAGCTCACACACACACACACACACCTATGTCCATGCCGAAGTTGACCCTGTTGTCTACATCGTCGGCCCAGACGGGAGCAGGCAGAGGGTGGAAGAGCACGGGAAACACTCCTCTCAACAGCTGCGACTGACGGGCCACCTGAGGGAGAGGACCAAATATATCAAGGTTTTGTGAGCGTCAAAAAACGACCAATTACCTACAATTAAGGCACTACATAAATGCCACACATCATTTGGAAAAGATTAAAAGAGACCAAAAGTATCGAACAGTAATTGAAAAACATATCTCCTATATGTAAACCACTGATAAGTCATTCGGTCATCCATTCGAGGCTATACGGCCACATTACTCCCTGATCTTTGTAATGCAGTGGCTCCTAACCATTTTGGTGTGTGAAAAATCAATATAGTAATCTCTATTTGTGACCCCTAATCACAGGTCACAATGAAATGAGTTATGATGAGACAAAGACAAAGAGAGATTTGCCCAGATTGTTGTATTGTAATATTTTTTAGAAGAAGTATTTCAATGATAAAAAGGGAAGAAATCCTAATATAATTTTGTGTAACCGAAGAATCTGGTTTAAAAGGTTTTCTTGTGACCTCTTGGGAAGTCTCCGCCCTCAGATCAGAAAAACACATTAGAAGATCTTAATTATCTTAAATAACTTTGACCTTTCCACTTTTTTCCCCTTTAATCTAAAAAAACAGACATGTTTTATTCTGTTACAGACTTCTGATAATTATAGTTTGAACTACCAACTACGCTATTAAGTTCTATATTATTACGGTTAAGGTTATTTTGACTTTGTATAAATATATTAGTGATGCTTTTGCTTTGTTTTATTTAAGCAACAGGCCTTTTTTTTCCACTGCTTATTTGTTTTGACATTATTGGTTCTGTTTCATTTCTAAAGTAAATGTTGTATCCCATCCCATAATACACATTATTTGTATTTCAACAGGGGACTCTTGGAAAAGAGATATTGCTCTAAGTTGGTTTCCGCTGTATAATAAAGGTTTCAACATTCAAAAAGACCATCCTGTGATCCGAGCAGTAATGGGGGTTGTCATATGGTCCCAGGGTCAAGACCCATGCAAGCAGCCGTCCACAGAGCTGAGTGTCCACACCACAGATGTTCTGCTTTGAGCTCCATGTGGACCTTTTATCATGTGGAGGGCTCTTTATATGGATTCATTTCAAATCACAAGTAATCTTGATTTACTCTGAAGCACATTGTGAAACATTCATGTTCTTTTGAATCAACTGTTCCATAAAACAGAAATACACTCCAGTGAAATATACCAATAAAAGTGCTCAGTCGATGAGACCTGTTAGACATCTTCAGTGCCGTCATCATTGACAACAAAAGACAGTGAGAGTGAACATTGATTGTATAACACGTTGTGCAGTTTTGGAAAGTGTGACTCATCAACAATTAGGTTGTTTTTCAGCAAGACAAAAGCTCTGCTGGTTCAGAGGGGCAGACTGTACCTGAGGGCTCCTGGTGATGGAAATGATGGGACAGCGAGGACGGTATCTGGACAGGAGATGTGCCGCCCTGGAGAGATGGAGAGGGAACACATATCAGCAAAGGTTGGCACATAAGCACGTCTCAACAGCTATTAGATGAATTTTCCTTGGGCACCATCATCCAATAGAAATCTGAAATGTATCCAGTCTTTTTTTTAATTCTCATCTGATAGAAATGGTGTGCACGCTTACACGCTAAACTAAGGCTTTCAATATGCTAAACATTTCACCTGCTTGAAAATCAGCCTTACAGCGTCTCAGCATGCCTACATTAGCATTCAGATCAAAGCACTTCCGTGTCTAAAGTACACTC